AGGTTTACTAGATCGATATCTGGATAAGCAGGTTGGCTTATGAGGGGAGACTGGACTTATTTTCATTGAGGTTTAGAAGAGGAGGGTGACTTCATTGAATTACACAGTTTCTTGAACGGTCTGACAACATGGATGTAGAAATGATATTTCCTCTTGTGGCTGAGGCCAGAACTAGGGGGACACTCCTTCAAAATTATAGATCACCCTTTTTGGACCGAGAAGTGGAAAAATTATTTCTCTCAGGGGTGTGCAACTTTTGAACATACTGCTGAATAAGATGGGGCCATCGCATATTTTTAAGGTGGAGGTAGATAGATTTTAATGCAATGGCACCAAAGGTTTTTGGGAGGAGATGGGAATGTAGAATTGGAAATACAACAGAGAAGCCTTGATCTTATTGAATAGCGGAGTATGCTCAAGAGCCAAATGGCCTACTTCTGCTACAAATTCTTATATTCTTACGTTTCAGTTTTACTAATCTCAGTTTCTTTGTTTTCAGAATTTAAAACAAAATTCAAATTCCCACACTGTTAAGATGGGATTTGAACTCAATTACTAGTTCAATAACTCAGACCACTACACCACTGAAGTTCCATATGTGCCCTGTAACCACTACCTTTCACCCAGCAAAAATGATTCCAGAGATGAGGGGCTTCAGCTATGATGATGGAAAAGAGAAGCTGGGGCTTAGAGAAAGTAAGTTAAGGGCAGATTTAATACAGGTATTCAAAATCATTAGAGGTCAGTGCACAGCAGATAAAGGAGAAACTTTCTATTGTTGGAAGCATCAAGAACTGGAACACACCAGTCTAAGGTGATTGACAAAAGAACCAAAGGCAAACAAGGAAAAGTGTTTTTACAGTGAGTGCTTTCGATCTGGGATTCACTGCCTGAGTGTGGTGGATGCAAATTTAATTATGGTTATCAAAATGGAAGTAGATAATTGTGAAAAGAAAAAAAAAGCAAAATTACAGGGAAAATGCATGGGAAGTGGCACTATGTGAATTGTTCCTGCAGAGAGCTAGCAAACACAACAGGCCATATGGACTCCTTTTGCCCCATAACTATTCTACAATTCTTATTTTATAATAACCTCAACACAGCACTGATAGCAAACTGTAAAGCTAGCCTTGTAAAGTCATCAAAAATCTGCACAAGACTGTGACTGTTCAGCTATGTTTTAATGTACTCACCTCCGTTTAATTATTACAATTGAGACACTGACATGCCTGCTAAAAAAGGTACCAAGGTAATTATTTTGTCTAGACACTCCCACCTCCTGTGCATAGATTGCCTGTGAACCTGTGCTTTGATTACTGCACTATGAAATTCACATTATAGTGCCAGAGACATTACAGGTAGGACAAAAACAACTGGAAGATTAATAACGAAAATCCCTACATTTACTTACCTATGTCGACCACTGTTTCCAGAAGTTCGTGTAGCAAAGGATATATGGTAAGGAACATTATGTATATCAGGAGATATTCCAACCCTCTGACACCCAGCCCACTCTGAAGAGAGAAGGGAAAAGCAAAACAAAGAGAGAGTTACTTAACTTCTATATGAATTGTTAATCTCTCATAATTCTTCTTCGAACACACCAGAGACATGTCTGGGGAATCTCTCTCAGGCTAGAATATACAATGCAAACAAACCCAGATGCTTTCTATGTTTGCTCTGGGGTCCTATTTATACTGCTCAGTCAGGAGTGAGGATTCTACATGACCCCACTCCCTATTTTTTAATCAATTGACTCCCAACAATCCACTGTAAAGGGCATGAGTGAATTTCAAAACGGAGATTGATTTTGGAGGAGGGTATTAACAGCCATGCAGCTGAACAGGTAATTGGAGTTGAGGTACAGTTCTGCCATGATCAAATTGAAAAATAGAACATATCTGAGGGGCTGAATGGCCGTCTCCTATTCCTCTATAACAGCCTCAAGTTAAATGAATGCTCTTCTTCTGTCCCTCCCTCCATATAGAAAAATACCAAGTTACCATTTTACATGAAATAACTCTGAACCAACCAAGAAATCAACACATGCCAAACACAGGCCTCATCTTTATATAACCTCCCAATTCTCTCAAAAACCAAAAAGGTAATTTCAAAGGCTTTTCTTCCTTAAGATTTGAAAGTTATACCTGACTTCCCACTTATTTTTCTTTCAGGATTATATTTATTGCTGTTGGCAGGCTTTTAAAGTACTTCAGGATTATTTTGACATTTTCAGGAATAAGATTTTATTTGGATATTCCAGAATGACATTCCAGGGAGGATGTAGAAGAATGCCATAGGTCAGTAATGGCTTACAAGGGATAACAACTTTGAAGAAAATGTTTACACTAGTTAAATATTGGTCCACTTGAAATGAATCTGAATCAAGAGGTACAGTAAGCACATGGAAATTAAATGCAGTTGCATTGTTAAAGATTCATTCAGAGGGTGTGGGCTTAACTGGCTAGGCCAGCATTCATTGCCCATCCCTAATTACCCAGAGGGCAGTTAAGAGTCAACCTAATTGCTGTGGTGAGAGTCACATGTAGGCCAGACCAGGTAAGGATGGCAGTTTCCTTCCTGAAAGAACATTAGTGAACTAGATGGGTTCTCCCAGACAATCAACAATGGTTTCATGGTAGCTACTAGATTCTAAAATTCCAGATGATGTTTTTCTTTTATACTGAATTCAAATTCCACCATCTGCCATGGCAGGATTTGAACCTGGGTCCCCAGGTTAATAGTCTAATGTAATACCACCGGGTGATCGCCTCCACTGTTGAATGATGAGACAAGCTGATGAATTCAAAATGGTAAGAACAGTAATAAACAGTTGCTATAGAGTACATTTAATTCCATTTACATTCCTGTTAATTTAGTAGAGAGCGAGTGTTTATTCTGTTTAGTCCGAGACCAGCAACTTCACTATCTCAGTATCTCACTCTCTCATTTCTGCAGGTTTTAGCATTTTGTTGCTACTAAAACGCAAGAAAAATTGAAATTTATTTTCTCCATTTACCTCCCAGCAATCAAGTTAAACAACAGATTTTCATGTTGCATTAAGCGTTTTAGTTCACAGAAACAGGATGCTTGACCCAACTGATTTACATTGGTGTTTATGCTTTGTAAGTGGTGCTCCAGGTCAGGTTACAAATCCTTGCCTTCTGAACATAACACCATTCTGCTGGAGCTACCACTACTGGAAACTTCATAGAGCAAATTATCTCCAAACTTACTTTTCTAAGATCATTCATGGGATGTGAGTGCTACTGGTTGGGCCATCATTTATTGCCCATCCCTAGTTGCCCTCGAGAAGTTAGTGAGTGGTGAGCTGCCTTCTTGAACTGCTGCAGTCCACGTGCTCTAGGTAGACCCACAATGCTGTTAGGGAAGGAATTCCAAGATTTAACCCAGCGACACTGAATGAACGATGATATATTTCCAAGTCAGGATGGTGCGTGGTTTGGAGAAGTACTTGCAGGTTAGTGGTGCTCCTATGCATGTGCTGCCTGTCTAGATAGTAGTGGACATGTGTTTGGAAGGTGCTGACTGAGAAGGACTGGTGAATTTCTGCAAAGCACCTTGTAAGTGGTACACTCTGGTATTACTGAGCATCAGTGCTACAGGGAGTGAATGCTTGTGGACTTTTTAAAATTCATTTGTGGGAGGTGGGCATCATTGGTTGGCCAGCATTTATCATCCATCCCTAGTTGCCCTTGAGAAGGTGGTGTTGGGCTGCCTTCTTGAATCATTGCAGTCCACCTGCTGTGGGTTGAGCCACAATGCCATTAGAGAATGAATTCGACAATTTTGACCCAGTGACAGTGCAGGAACAGCAATACATTTCCAAGTCAGGATGGTGAGTGGCTTGGAGGGGAACTTCAATGTCATGGTGTTCCCATGTATCTGCTGCCCTTGTCCTTCTAGATGGAAGTGGTTGAAGGTTTGGAAGGTGCTGGCTGAGAATCTTTGGTGAATTTCTGCAGTGCATCTTGTAGATAGTACACATTGCTGCTACCGAGTGTCGGTGGTGGAGGGAGTGGATGCTTGTGGATGTGGTGCCAATCCAGCGGGCTGCTTTGTCCTGGATGGTGTCAAGCTTCTTGAGTGTTGTTGGAGCTGGACTCATGCGGACAAGTGGGGAGTATTCCATCACACTCCTGACTTGTGCCTTGTAGATGATAGATAGGCTTTGGGAAGTCAGAAGCTGAGTTACTCGCTGCAGTATTCATAACCTCAGACCTGCTCTTGTAGCCAATGCGGTGAGTCCAGTTGAGTTTCTGGTCAATGATAACTCAGAATGTTGATAGTGGGGGATTCAGTGATGATAATACCACTGAATGTCAAGGGGTGGTGGTTAGATAGTCTCTTATTGGTGATGGTCATTTTCAGGCATTTATGTGGCACAAATGTTACTTGCTACTTGTCAGCCCAAGCCTGGATATTGCCCAGACTTTGTTGCATTGGCACACAGACTGCCTCAGTATCTGAGTGGCAGTGAATGGTGCTGAATGGTGCGCAATCATCAGCAAACATCCCCACTTCTAACCTAATAATGGACGGAAGGTCATTGACGAAGCAGGTGTAGATGGTTCGGCCTAGGACATTACCCTGAGGAACTCTTGCAGAGATGTCCTGGAGCTGAGATGATTGACCTCCAACAACCACGACCTATCTTCCTATGTACCAGGTATGACTCCAACCACTGGAGAGTTTGCCCCCTGATTCCAGTTTTGCTAGGGCTCCTTGATGCCAAGGGCTGTCACTCTCACCTAACCTCTGGAATTCAACTCTTTTGTCCATGTTTGAACCAAGGCTGTAATGAGATCAGGAGTTGAGTGGCCCTGGCGGAACCCAAACTGGGTGTCACTGAGCAGGTTATTGCTGAGACAGGTGCTGCTTGATAGCACTGTTGATGACACCTTCCATCACTTTGATGATCGAGAGTGGGCTGATGGGGCAGTAATTGGCCAGATTGGATCTTCCTGCTTTTTACGTACAGGACATACCTTGGGCAATTTTCCACATTGTCAGGTAGATGTTAGTGTTGTAACTGTACTGGAAGAGCTTGGCTAGAGGAGTGGCAAGTTCTGGAGCAGAAGCCTTCAATACTACTGCCAGATGTTGTCGGGGCCTGTAGCCTTTGTAGTATCCAGTGTCTCCAACCATTTCTTGATATCATGTGGGGTGTATCGAGTTGGCTGAAGACTGGTATCTGTAATGCTGGGGACCACTAGAGGCCGAGATGGTTCATCCACATGGCATTTTTGGCTGAAGATTGCTGCAAGAACTTCAGCCTTATCGCTTGCACCAATATCCCATGCTCTTCCAATATTAAGGATGGGGATATTTGTGGAGCTTCTTCCACCAGGGAGTTGTTTAATTGTCCACCACCATTCATGACTGGAGCTTAGACCTGATCCGATGGTTGTGGGATCGTTTAGCTCTGTCTATCATTTGCTGCTTATGCTGTTTGGCGTGCAAGTAGTCCTATTTGGTGGCTTCACCAGGTTGACACCTCATCTTCAGGTATGCCTGGTGCTGCTCCTGGCATGCCCTCCTGCACTCTCCATTGAACCAGGGTTAATCCCCTGGCTTGATGGTAATGAGTAGGAGATATGCCAGGCCATGAGGTTACAGATTGCGCTGGAGTACAATTCTGCTGCTGATGGCCCACAATGCCTCATGGATGCCCGGTCTTGAGTTGCTCTGTCCCATCCAGCATAGTGATAGTGCCACACAACACGATGGAGGTTATTCTCAATGTGAAGGCAGGACTTTGTCTCTACAAGGACTGTGCCGTGGTCAGTCTTCATGGACAGATGCATCTGCAGCTGTCAGACTGGTAAGGATGAGGTCAAGCGTGTTTTTCCCTCTAATTACTTCCCCGACTACCTGCCATAGACCCAGTCGAGCAGCTATTTCTTTTAGGACCCAACCAGCTTGATCAGCAGTACTGTTGCTGAGTCACTCTTGGTGGTGGATACTGAAATCCCCCACCCAGAGTACATTTTGTGACCTTGCCATCCTCAATGCTTCCTTCAAGTTTTGTTCAACATGGAGGAGTACTGATTCATCAGCTGAGGGAGGACAGTACATGGTAATCAGCAGGTTTCCTTGCCCATGTTTAACTTGAAGCAATGAGGTGTCATGAGGTCCAGAGTCAATGTTGAGGGCAACTCCCTCCCACTGTGCCACCACCTCTGCTGGGTCTGTCCTGCTGGTGAAACAGGACGTGTCCAGGGATGGTGATGGCACTGTCTAGGTCACTGTAAGGTATGATTCTGTGAGTATGACTACGTTAGACTGTTGCTTGACTGGTCTGTGAGATAGCTCTCCCAATTTTGGCACTAGCCCCCAGATGTTAGGATGGAGGACTTTGTGGGGTCGACAGGGCTGCTTCTGCGTATCTTTTCCAGTGCCTAGGTTGATGCCGACGATCAGTCTGGTTTCATTTCTTTGAGACTTTGTAGCAATTGGTACAACTGAATGTCTTGCTGGGCTATTTTAAAGAGCAGTTGAGAGTCAACCACATTGCTGTGGGCCTGGAGTCACATGTAGGCCAGACCAGATGAGGATGGCAGATTTCCTTCCCTAAAAGGACATCAGTGAACCAGATGAGTTTTTCCAACAATCAACAATGAACAATGATTTCATGGTCTTCAGCAGTGGTGCCAATCAAGTGGGCTGCTTGGACCTGGTTGATGTCAAGCTTCGAGTGTTGTTGGAGCTGCACTCATCCAGACAAGTGGGGAGTATTCCATCACACTCCTGACTTGTGTCATGTAGATAGTGGACTGGCTTTGGGGAGTCAGAGGTGAGTTACTCGCTGCGTGATTCCTAGCTTCTGAATTACTCTTGTAGTCACTGTACCTGTATGGCTAAGCCAGCCTAGTTTCTGAAAAATGGTAACCCCCAGGATGTTGATAATAGGGGATTCAGTGATGGTAATGCCATTGAATTTCAAGGGGTAATGGTTGTATTCTCTCTTCTTGGCACTTGCATGGCACAAATGTCCTTGCTGCTTGGCAGCCCAAACCTGAATGTTACCCAGGTGTTGTAGCGTTTGAAGATGTAGTTTTAGTATCTGAGGAATTGTGGATATTGCTGAACACTGCACAGTGAACATCCCCACATCCAATGAAGCAGCTGAAGATGGTTGGGCCTACAACGTTACCCTGAGGAACTCCTGCAGAGAGGAGTGATCTCCAGCAACCACAGTTATCCTTCTTTGTACCAGGCACGTTTTTAACTAGCAGTGCTTTCACCCCGATTGCCATTGAGTCCATTTTTCCTAGCGTTCCTTAATGTCACACTAGATTAAAATGTAGCCCTGATGTCAAGGACCGTCTCTCTCACCTTACCTCTGGAATTTAGCTCTTTTGTTTGAACCAAGGTTGTGATGAGGTTAGAAGCTGAGTGGCTGTGGCGGAACCCACAGTGAATACCAGTAAGTTATTTGTTATTTCTCTTGATAGCATTGTTGATAACATCTTCCAACTCCTGACTGATAATTAAAAATGTACAGATAGGGCAGTAAATGGCTGAGTTGGATTTGCTGTGCTTTGTGTATACAGAACATTCCTGGTCAATTTGCAACATCGTTACGTAGATTCCAGTATTGTAACTGTACTTGAACACCTTGGCTAAGGGTGCAGCAAAGTCTGGTACATGATTTTAGCACTCTTGCCTGAACATTGTCCAGGGCCATGGCCTTTGCAGTATCCAGTGTCTCCAGCTGTTTCTTGACATCACGTGGAGTGAACCAAATTAGTTGAAGACTGGAATCGGTGATGCTGGGGACCTCAAAAGGAGGCAGAGATGGATCATCCACTCAGATGGCCGAAGGTTGTTGCAAATGCTTTAGTCTTCTCTTTTACACTGATGTGCTGGACTCCTTTTATTGAAGGTGTGAATGTTTGTGGAGGTTTGTCCTCCAGTGAGTTGTTTAATTGTCCACCACCATTCACGACTGGATGTCGTAGAACTGTACAGCTTATATCCGATCCATTGGTTGTGGAATTGCTTAGCTCTTTCATTTGCTGCTTATGCTGTTTGGCATGTGAGTACTCTTGTTTTGTAGCTTCATCATTGGCATCTCATTTTTAGGTATGCCTGGAGCTGGTCCTGGCATGCCTTCCTGCACTCTTCATTGAACTTCATATTTTATGCACAAGTCTCACTATAATCTTTGAGTTTGTGTTCTTTTTTTAAAATTTGATAGGTTGAAGGTATATGATGGTATAACCAGTTTCCAGTCTTCTTACCTGTGATGTCATAGACTTTGCCACTCATCATGGCAAAGTAAGTGATTTTTAATCCCAACATGCTTGACTCTGCCCAGAAGTCCCCATCCTCCACAGAGTGCCTTGTGTTACACTCTGCACAGTATCGAGCTGCCTGTGGGTCACGATCCATCTCAAATCTCCTGCAAAGGAAACTGCAATTTTATTTTCATCATAGGTAAATGAGGAATTGTACTTAAGAGTGACTCAAAGCCATATTACACAATCTATCCTAGAGCATTTTTAAAAAAATACACCTGGCTCTCTTGTGGCATTCACACTTCAAGGGACGTATAGGCTGCAAAGGAGAAAGTAAACAAGGTGTGCATAAAGTTTGGGAGTGAAACAGGTCAGGGGCTTTTGAGGTCAGAAACCAACTAGAAACCAACCAGCAAATGACATCTAGGGAAGATGGATCAATTTTTTTTTAAACAAGGAAGAATTTGTTAATTTGAGTGTGTACTTAATAGTGATGAATTGTAGGTGTTCAAATAATGTTATAATCTACATGTTTTAGTTTCATCACTCGCAGGATAAAAGGGAATGTTCATTATCTCACAAAATTCTCTTCTTTGGTACAATCTGATTAGTACGGCAACACAGACATTGAGCAGAAATACCATTAATGTTGAGTACATAAGCAGTTGAGCAACCGCTAAATCAAACAAAACTATGAAAATAATGACAGAAAAATGGCAAGCGCTGACCCAGCCAAAGACACACAATGCAATTAGTCATAAAGTTCCTAAAGTTGAAAATAAAAATCAGGCAGGACTGCCACATTTGACTGCTGCTGCTGGAGACAAATGTTGGCCTTAGCATTAATCCCATTATGGCTGAATAGACAAATATTCATTACCTAGGCTTAAGTGATGAACAGTCAATTAAAGGAGACACCAAAGGGCATTTGGGATTTTCAGAATCTTACTCCAAACAGAACATGCACCTTGAGGAAAGGAAGATGGGAAAACTGGAGATGGAAGACTGACAAATCACCCAGCTTTACATTTATTTAACAGATAAGAGAGCACAAACTTGTGTTTTCCTTCACATTTACTGCACATCATAGTGTTCATGGCTTCCTTTAGGTCATCCTGGAGTTTGGTGAGAAACTCATTCATGGACCGATGTAACTCACTCTCTGCAGCCCGTTTGCTGAAAACAACAAACACAAAAATATCCAGTTATATCTGGAAATAAACCAAGAGCGGAAAGTAGTCAAAAAGTAAACTTGGATTCCACAATTCCACAGAATATAAACAAAGACTCAGTACAAACCTCTCTTTACAATAAGCTTTTAATATCCACGCCTGGGGAAAGACAGCTCCAATAAACTGAAAAGGTACACAAGAAAGTTGCATTTACACAGCACCTCATCACATCTGCAGGATGGGCCAAAGTGCTTTACAACCTACAAATGACTTTTTCTTGAAGTGCAGTCAGTCACTGTTAAAAAAGCAAATGCAGCAGCAAATTTGCGCGCAGCAAGATCCAAACAGCAAATGAATGAACTACTAGATAATCTGGTTTTAATCAGGTTGGTTGAGGGATCAATGCTGGCCAGGACAGGGGAAGGTCCCTCTGCTCTTCTTCAAATTATGCCATGGTATCTGAACAGGAAAACGCTGCTTCAGTTTGGAGACCAAGAGAATAAAGGGACCAATCACCCCAGGTTGCTCTTGCACAGCACAAATAGCAGAAAGTGATAGCAGGTATGGCACCTCAAGCATTCTCCTTTTGCATAGCTTTACATGGAAAATTAAAATTACTTCAGTCACATCCTTCTTCAATTAGAAACAGTGAAGTCAATTAGATGCATGTAAAACAGAAAGATGTTACAAAAACAAATCTTAAAAGTATATAAAAGTAACGAAACATAAAAAAGTAATAAAAAGTAGGGCTAGCTACAGCTAATTAAGTATATAGTTGAGCAGCCAAATAATATTTGTTGACACACATTCTAATGGATTTTCATGCTGAACATTAGGAGTGCTGGCAGTGCAGAGAAACATTTACATCCAGTTTCAACATCGAGTACTTCCAAATCTCCATGTAACACTGCTGCAGGAGACTGACAAGTTACTATGATATGGAGTTTACAGTTTTGTGCCGTAGTAATAGGAAATTAGTCAAATTTATCCAGGCTCAGTTAATTTGGGACTTATGTATTCAACAGTGAGGAGACTAATTCCATTGGTCTGAGCTGTGTTTAAACCTAGTCTTGTGATAAAATGGTGATACCTTGAATGAATAGAATCTATAGGGACATTTAGAGGTTTTTCTTTTAGAACATTAAACTTGGTAACATGTTCAAACAGATTTTCGCTCCCTAAATTAATCAATGTGGTAAATTTTGAAATAAAAACATTTTTTAAAAATCAGATGAGTAAAGCAAAAATGTTGAAGTATTCATATCACAAGCAGGAATAGAAGGTAAATTAACATTAAGACTCTGATCCTAAAAGAATCACAGGCCACATGGATATGTCCAGAATGCAGCGCTGAATTTTGCTTACATTTCATATTCCTTCCTTCTCTCAGGATTGCTCACAATATCCCACGCCGCTCGCACCACTTTAAAGGCTTCTTCTGATTGTGGGTGTTGGTTTTTGTCAGGATGAACCTGCAATCACAATGGGGGCTGTTAAAGAGAACAGTTTCTCAATCTAATGCACCTTGTTCAGCTACATCCAGTACTACCTCACATAAATCCAGAACTGCTAGTCTTCACTTTAAAAAAAATTCAACCAAGGCTTATCCTACAAATCTTGGGTGGAAATGAACTACTAAAATCAAAGTTCTGGTGACTTATTGCATAGGAGTATAAACAGATGAGGAAGCTCCCAGCTTTCCTCATCAGTCTGTGTTATTACTTCATTTGTAGCCAGTGAGGTGCTATAACTCATTTCAGTGCCCTGTCCCTTTGAGGTGCACTGCGCAAGGAAAGAAAGGAAGAAGAAACAAAAATACATCAGCTGGGGTTCATTGTATTGATTACTATTTAGTCTGACTAGAGAATTGCAGAATATCGGATAAGGACAGTTTTGGTTCAGCTGATGCCCTCTACAGTTGAGCAAGCTGCTGGTACAATCTAGGGTCAGAAATGAACACTAACACTCAAGAAAATTCACCAGTTATGGAAATTATTTCACAGCAAAACAATGATCTAATTATTTATTTGAAATTATTTGAAATAATGAGACTCACCAAAATACTGTTATAGGTTATCAAACCGACCAATCTACAGCAAAGCATTACATTACACATACAAAAATACTGCCAATGCAAAGAAAAGGCCCTAGCACATGGTTCTTAATTTGTGGAAATAAAGAGGGACCCAACAATGGTGAAGAGTCCACTCATGCAGAGTTGCACAAACACACTGCAGAAATCAGCACATCTTCACGTATGCATAGCTTTTCAAATTGTATATTTGATATTTCCTTGTGTAAATTTGAAAGCTGTGATTAATACTGCTTACCTATTGGATTAAAGTTGCCTAGCAGTATACCTCAAATGCACATTTTTTTCATGTGTCTGTGTCTACATGCAATGCTTCTTGTAAGTTACATGGACTTTGACAAACAGCAATCCAGAAATTAAAGTGCAAGATGCTCATAAGTTGCCCTAATGAAGATGGCGTCACCCAACAAAAAAAAACATATTTTAAAACAAACAGAAAATGCACAACAGAAAATAAATTGGAGCAGCATTTTTCTAACTGTACAGCTTTATTAAGCATTGCTGACAATCCTCTATAGGTAACAAAAAGCTCTAATATTGTTTCCCAGGAACAAGTTTACTCTGTAGAAGCAGCATTTTGTTTAATTGGTGTTAATATCTCTACATTTTCAGGCAGAATTGTGTGTTTGAAAGATGTAAAAGGCTATTCTTTGTAGCTCCCCCTTTCCCATTTAAACTTTATGAAGCCCTTTCCCATTTAAACTTTATGAAGTAAATGTTATTTGTGATTGGAGGGGAGGTGCAATGCATGAGGTTGGGTAGAAAAAGCATGGATGGATCCAGGTTGTAGGCTCAAGCCCAGTTCCAAAACTTGGAAAACACAGCATAGGCCGATACATTTAACAATGCAGTACACCCTCAGAACTGCACTGGATGTGCCATCTGTTGATTGCGATACTAAACTGAGGCCCCAACTACATTCTCAGGTGAATGTAAAAGATCTTATAACACTAATAGAAGAACAAGGAGGTCCCTGGTGCTCTGCCGTAAATTTATCCCTCAATCAACTTCCCAGAAAAGACTATTTTACTGTTGTTTGGGGAATTTTGCTGTGCATTTCACCATGTTACAATAGTAGTTACAGATTAAATATATTTAATGGAGGGTGAAATACCCTGGGTTTGAGGCAGTGAAAGGCACTGCAAAATTCAAATTCTTGCTTACCTCTTCTCATATTAAAATTATATCTCTCCTATGCTCTTTCTCAACAAACCTGACCTTATGTGATCAGAGTATTTGGTGTCTCAGTGGTATCCTCCTGCCACAGTTAGAGAAGTTACTATTTCCAGCGAGATATTTATGATGTTGAATTTTAAAGTTTTTAACATAACTTTCTAACTAACGAGAAAAAAATCTGTATATTTCAAAACTTAATGTTTATATAAACTGCATCTAACATTCCAAATTTGAAAATTGGAAACTGAAATGAATTAACCCTCACTAGGGCTACGAGTCATGGATTCTGCTAGATATTAAGTATGGAAACAGATTCAGCAAATGTTCAGTAACAGTATGAGCAAATTGAGACAGGGATTGTAGCAACATTCATTTACATCTGAATATGAATATGCTCTATATATGAACAGACAGAATGTGAAGGGTTTGTGGTTAAGACTGGTTTAAGATGACTTAGGTAGTAGTTTGTGAAATAGGACCTGCTTATTTTCAGGGCAACAACGGCAGCTTCCTAAAGATCAGGAACAGTCCAAATGAATACAACACTCTACCACACCCATACTATGTGTAATGAAAAGAACAGGATTATAATTAGCCACATAATACATTCCACACTTCCCGAAATCAACTGCAAACCTCTCTCTCCAATAACAAACGCATTCCTGTTATAAATCAATTTTATAAAAGCTATTTGCCACTAAGTTTGTGCCATGCACAGTACCTCAACTGGCCAACCATACGCCCTTCCCCACGGCTCTAATCTCTGACTAGAATTGAAGATGAAACTAATCACCATGAATAATAGCATTGAAAGGAGAGAGAGAGAAAGGAAATAAAACACTCAACTCTGCTCAGGTCAAACTTGTAACCAGAGTTAGATTAGGAGTTCCTGTTAAATCAGCTACACCAAGAATTGTAAAACAAATTCGGAAAAGAAAGCTGGCTGTCAGCACTGAGGAGAGGCAGTGCATTTGCCATGCATTTCAAATCTTGACCAGGATGCTGCAGGGTAGTCAAAACCTTTGGACTGGAGGCAACAATCTCACTGTTACCATTAGGTGACCTGCTCTGAACCAAACAGACTGCAACTTTCTGAATGTTGCATATGGTTTAAACTTTGTAGAATTTTCCTTTTGAGAATTCACAATCTTTATCTTTCAAATTTTGGTACCAGTTCAGCAAGTATGAGTTTTATGAAGTCCCAATAACTCTAAAGCAGAACGCTGATCAGAAGATTGACTTTTTTTTTTAAAAACGAAGAAATGTCTTCTGTTACAGCTAGATAACTAACCACAGAACAACGATATAAAATTAACCACAATTACAGGAGAAGCAAACATATGTGATCAAAACTCAAGTAGAATAGGTCAGAAAATGAAGGAAGACAAGACATCTTGTTTTGTATTTAAATAATAAATGACTGCTGTTTCAGCTGAAACAGCATCAGAATTTGCTGGGAAAATAACACCCAGTTTAATGCACTTTGCCGTTATTAGCGCCAAATTAGATTGACTTGCGAACTGCCACAGCTGCCAGACAATTTGCGCTGCTTCATTGTTAGCCTTGCAAGACAGCGTGCTGTCAAACTCACTTTGGAGTTTCAAGAATTGCTGCATTTGCGCTTTAGTGAATTGAACAGCCGCAGAAAGTAAGGGTTGATATTTAACAATTGAAGGATCCTATACATAGTCTTCTAATATTACTCAACTTCCTATCTCAGAAAAGCAGCAACATAAAAAGTGTAGATTCTCATTCCTGCAGCTAGTAAACCATTTGGAAATTTTCAAAAGCACTTTACTCACTTTCCCTCTTTCTTAATTCGATCTTTCTTTCTGTCTCTCTTGCTTTCAAATTATATTTGACACTAAATTCACCTCATGTCCATCTCATTCATCCCTTGCATCATTCGCAAAATAGTTACGATAATGAACTTGGTGGACTCACTGTTCAGAGGTCCCCGATGTCCCTTATAGATCATAGAATCCCTACAGTGTGGAAACAGGCCCTTCAGCCCAACAAGTCCACACCAACCCTCACACATCCCACCCAGACCCAACTCCCCATAACCCACCTAATCTACACATCGCTGAACACGATGGACAATTTAGCGTGGCCAATCCACCTAACCTGCACATCTTTGGACTGTTGGAGGAAATCCATGCAGACACGGGGAGAATGTGCAAACTCCACACAGTTGCCCAAGGGTGGCAGTGCTAACCACTGAGCCACCGTGCCGCCTAGCTCACATTTCCAGCGCAAAAAAATGAGAAGGGTGAGGGGGAAAAGAAACCTAAAATTGGGCATGTCAGATGATGCTCTGCTCCAGAAAGGTCCAAGTAACTATGTTGCAATTCAGTGCCCAATGTATCATGCAAAGTTATTAAACGTGAGCAGATTAATTTTGTCTATTCAACCCATTTTGTTCAGTACAAAACAAAATGTCTATTCAGCTGTCAGCCATGGTTCAGTTAGTAGAGCTATCATCTCTGAGTTAGAAGGTTGTAGGTTCAAGCTCCACTGGAGACTGGAGCACAATATCCATGCTGACATTCCAGTGGGGTAGTGACAGAGTGTGGCACTGACAGAGGTGCTGTCTTTTGGATGAGACATTTAACAGAGGTGCTGTCTACCATCTCAGATGGACAGAAAAGATTCCTCAGCCACTATTTTGCAGAGGAGCTACCTCTGTGTCCTGCAGCATATTGACTATCATGAAAAAAGATGAGCTGGTCATTATCACATTATAGTTCGCGGGAGCTTGCTATGCACGAATTGGCTGCTGCATTTCCTACAAGTGACTACACTTCAAAAGTACTTTGTTGGTCGTAAAGCGTTTTGGATGCCCCAAAGTTGTGAAAGGCGCTACAGAAATGTAATTCACTTTTTTCTATACTTACAGCATGTTCGTCTAAATTGTTTGATTTCACATTTACTCCACTACAATGCCAGAGGAAGTGGCTGCCGGTTGTAAATTTTGTTTTAGAGGAAATGTCTGATCACTGCCAATTACATTCTACATTGTCTTCCAGACCTCAGTCACTGGCATGGAAATTCAGCCACTGGTGTTCAGAGTAAAGTCACGAGCACCACTTCTTTCTTGCTTGGTGATGGAACAAAGACCGAGAACTCAATGTGACACAGGAAAAACAAATCCAACACTGGTGATACACTACTGTGAGGGCAGAGTGCAACAGCAAACATCCTAATTTAGTGCCCATTTTGCTGAATGCCTTGGGTGAATTTACTGTGCTAAAGGCACTATATAAATGAATGTTGTTTTTCTTTTAAACAGGGCACCAGCATGCTCATAACCACATATTGAACGAATTGAACAATCTCCCAGATAATGCTGGAACAAATGAAAAATATTACCAGGTAAGCTCATGTAACATTAGGAAATCAAGATTTTGAAATATCAGACCAAAACACCTGGATCAAATGAAATAGATTATCTGACTGAACACAAAAATTATTTTGACCAAGCACTACCCACCTCTTTACAAAATGGTTAAGTAGGTAAATATACAATAAAACCCTGACAATGAACCATACAGACCAGGTTCACTCTGCTCTGTCCTGATTTTGGTTATCACAGCCAATTACTACAAATTAATTTTTAATGGCAGAGGTGAGCAAAGAAAGGAAAAAAAAAAATCTACTGGATTCCAGCTCCTAGTCATTATCCAACTCTTACCTACTGGAAACACAGATGGGTGACCGCTGATGAAATGGTTGACAAGCCCACTGACGTCAGTGCAGCAACTCCTTAGGTGCAGTACCTAAAGGCCACTGACACACAGGAAATGGACATCTAGACATGAGAAGCCTTTGGAATTGGGGAAAATTTTAAATTGCTGAAAATGTTCATATTATTCTCTCAGGTAACAGCATAGTGTTTAAAAAAGGTTAAGCACAGAAATAAGAGTGAAATTGGTACAGGTTATACCCAAGAATTGGAAAATGGAAGCAAATCTCAGACATTCAATATTTAAAACTTTAGTTGTGGTAGTCAAATAGAAATAAGCAAATCAGATTGACTGATGATGAATTTTGTTTTTAACTAAAATGCTTTCACATAGAACTCACCAGTACGGCCAACTGCCGATAAGCCTTTTTTAGCTCGGCATCAGTGGCCATTACCTCCACGCCCAGAACTTTAAAAGGATCCAGATCCTCTTCTGGTATATCGGCCATTGCCAGTAGCCTGTCCACCTCGTGGTCTGGCTGGTATCTATTAGCACTAGGTGACTGGGGGGACGGAGATAGAACTGGAGACTGGCCTGCAGTCCGCCATTTACCAGTTAGCCAGGATCGCATTTTCAATTTTTCCCATAGTCTTTTCAAATAATTCCAAGTCCTAGATTCTGCTATAGATGAGCACGAGCTGTGCAGAAAGCGAACAGCTGGGAAATGGGGAAAGCCTTCTTTGCCCCATATGGGCAACCTCCGAAATATATTGGAAATCCCAGATTTTCCACATTTGTAGCAGAGTCGTAAACATCCTATAAATAACATTAGTACGAGAAAAAGCAGAGCAAGCAGCATTTTTAAAATCTTTATAGTCATCTTCATTGAGGAAAAACAAAACCATTTAAGCTTCTCTGACATTGATTTTGCCTGCTTAAGAAGCCACATACATGAGGTCCTTGCATTGCCCTTTAAGGAAATAAAATCTTCTTTTTGTATCTGGCAACATGAATACACAAGTTTGCCTCCTATCTCCACATATTCTCCACACTTGTGAGTCACAAAAAGAATAACATCCATTAGAATTTTTATATAGGTTACACATTTCCAAAGCAGCTCCTGAGTTTGTTTTTGCACTCCACTCTTTAATTTGTCTCGGTTGTCAGCATGCTGTCGTTTCCTCTCAGCCTTCGTGTGCCTCTGTTTATTAGCAGTTGAAGACTTGCCATTCTTCTTCAAGTGCTCCCTTGCATTGTCCTTATCATAGATGTTTGAAGAGTTATCTTTTGTTGCCGATTTGTTTCTCTGGCGTTTGCTGCTTTTCCTGCTGCTAAACTTCACAGGATAGCTATTATCGTCCACAGTTTTTACTGGGTTTTCATCCATGCCTTCATCTTCGTTGCATTCGTCACATTCATCTATTCCATCTTCTTGAGAAGTATTAGCAGAACGGATACAATCTAAGTTATCGAGGAAAGACAGATTGTCATCTGTCTTGAAAGGGAAGTTGTGGTCTCCGTAGCTGCCTGATTGAAAGCAGCCTTCTAAAAACATGTGAGTGCAGGCAGAAATCTCCCCCTCATGAATGGAGGGCACACACCCATTTTCTCGTGAATCCTTCTCAGATACATTTTCACAATCAGTTACACTATCAGAGAGACAGTATGGCTTCTCACTGCTGGCCAAATCCGTCTTTCTGTTTTGAAGGTTACACCCATCACCTGACATGCCAGAACAATAAAAAGATGGCATCTGCCCTGTAAAATCCAGATGTCCACATGGGAAGCTCAACCCTTCCATATCCACCGTCCTCAACTCTTCATCTGAAAGTTGATCTGAAGATGGTCTTTTATAATCAAAACAGTTTACATCACCAAATGTCCAATCCGTCAAGGTAACTGGCGTACTGATCCCTCTATCAGTATTTCTTAATGTTTGATGACTCGTCCTTTGCCAGGTCATATTACCATGAGCAGTACAGACATGTTCTGAAATATATCGACTTGAGTCAGCACCATCGCACCGGGCACCGTAAGAGTAGTTTGGACAGTCAGTTGTTTTATCATCACAGAGGTGACTGGCACCCGGCTGTTGTATCTGATCAAACTGGGAATGGCTGCAATGGGACAACTGCTGCTCTTCCTTCACATATCCATGGGTTGTGTTTCTTTCTGACCACTGCAGATCCTTGCACCTAGCATGGGGATCTTTCCTCTCCATTGCAGTAGAAACTCAAGTCACTGGCAGTCATGTTTTTTTCCATCTTCACCTAAAATCAATACACAAGACACAAGTGCTATAACTGTGAGAAAAATAAATGTAAACACTTTAAACTTGTAATTAATTACAGTTAAAAAGTAATGTTTTTGTGTGAACGGTCATGAATCAAAACATAGTATGGGACTATTATTTCCAGAACTTTGCACACATTATAAAAAATCACAAATTTGCTTACATCATTTTATTATATGAAGCCCCTTGCTCAGATTTCTGGTCTACAATCAATTCTAAGATCCATACTATTTATTCCCAATGAAAACATAAAGCATGTGAGCAGATGCTTTCTCACCTACCTTGTGAGTCTGCGGCCTCCATTTGTTCAGTGGCAGGAGTCGGGAGAGCGCGCGAGGGGATTGCTGGGAAGGTAAAATCATATATTCTGGCAGTGGCTAAACCCGAAACACTACACGTGTAGTGTCTCCCACCCACCCTCCTCCTCTAACCAAAAAAAAGACTCTGTGTGGAGGGTCAATAAGCACAACGATTTCCTCTTGAGTCGGGAGAGCGCGCGAGGGGATGCTGGAAAGGTAAGCAGCGAGTATAATAACTTACAGTTAGTGCTTCAGGGCCTTCATTTTTTGGCGGCGGCGGAAGAGGAGACTGGGAGTGAGAGCATAAGAGTGGCGTCTCCCACCCTTCCACCTCCTCTAACCTAAGAATAAAAGGGTAAGTAAGTTATTCTCTACTTTTTACAAATCTTTCAGGGAAGTTTAAATTTAGAGGGGATGGCAGTCAGGGCAGTGCAATGTTCCTCCTGCAGGATGTGGGAGGTAAGAGTCAATGGCAGTGACTCTGCTGACTTCACCTGTGGGAAGTGCACCCAGCTCCGGCTCCTCAAAGACCGCGTTAGGGAACTGGAGCTGGATGAACACAGGATCATTCAGGAGGCTGAGGTGGTGATAGAAATGAGCTACAGGGACATAGTTACCCCTAAGAACGAAGGCAGTTGGGTGACAGTAAGAAAAGGGAAGGAAACAGTCAGTTCAGGGATCCCCTGTGGTTGTTCCCTTCAACAATAGGTATACTGTCTTGGATACTGTTGGGGGGACGACCTACCAGGGGTAAGCCACAGGGACCGGGTCTCTGGTACAGGGTCTGGCTCTGTGGCTCAGAAGGGAAGGGGGGAGAATAGGAGAGCAATTGTCGTGGGGGTTTCAATAGTTAGAGACACAGACAGGCAGTTCTGTGAACGCGAACGAGA